ATATATAATATTATATAACTCATGATTTTTATTCGATCGATTCACTTAACTGCATCGTAAAATAATTTCATCATAATTTATCATATTTTTTTCTCTCTATTTTATAACAAAGATATAAGAAATAGTACGATTATTTATGAAAAAAAATTATATTGATATGAAATTTTGTTTATAGAAAATGTATACTTAGTTTTCAAAATAAAAATACTTTTTGTACTTATTATAATAAATATCAAATTGAATATTGAATTTTCATTCGATTTTATCGTGCTTGTAAATAGTAAAATTTTTAAATTTTTACGTTGATGGATTTTTAATTATCATTACATTTTATTTAATTGTTATAAAAACATTTCCTAAAAACAATATATTTATGATATATAAAAAAAATATGAAGAATTATTTACTCGTGATAAACATTGTTCACAACTTATGAAACATTCGATATTGTTTTATGGTTTCTTATAATTTAATTAGGTACACTATATATCATATATCATGTGTTCTGTAAGAATACATATTTACAGGCAACAATAATTTGTCGCTAAATAACGAACAGGAACTTCGATCCTCACTCTTGGTTCGTTCCTCGATATATTTGCCGGAAACTATTTAATAAAACACTTTTTACGATGCGGTTGATAATTGTAAGATGATCTTGATTTGAATCTAGTGACAAAACATTTATATTGATTACTGTGAAAAAAATCTCGAATACATGTATGTACAGTTAACCTAAATTCTCGTCTTACGAAACGGACAATGTGCAATGAATATGCTATATACATATAAATATTTATGTAATTGTTTCTTTGAAGCAATTATCGATGTATGGTATTTATTCTTTTCTAAATGTCTTCGAAACTATGTGAAATATTATTTTATTTAAAAATATTAGATATTTTTTTTCAAATAAATTCATAATAATTTCATTGTAGATTTCATTACAGTTTTTTTTTTTTTATAGAATGATGTATAAATAATATGTATAAATAAATTGAAAATAATTTTATCCATAAATTTTAAAAAAATGTTATGAAATTTATTTATACAGAAAATTTGATTATTAAGGTGTTAAAATAGATTAATTTTGCAATAATTATTTTCATAGTCTCGATGAAATCTAGAATTACCGAATGATTTTGTGTATTTTTTTTTATTGAAAATGAAAAATAAGCGGAAGTAGATTGATACATTACAATAAAATACAAATTGAGGTAGGAGACCTAATATTATCGCGCGAAACTCTTGAGCGAAAATTCGAAATTGACATTTCTAAATAACTATTTAATTAGTAATAAATCAGACTAAGATATTATGATAAAAATTAATTTATTACAATATTTAAATCGTATTTAATTTTGTACAAAAACGTAAAACAGCATACGTTTAATTACAAATTATGAAAGGAAATCACTTAACGATCTGTTGACTGATATTAAAAAAATATTGATTTCATTTTCAGAGGGAATTATAATTCTATTTACGAATTATTCTGAATTATCATCATTATTTACGATGCTTCATCTCTCGTCGACTGCTACCAAAAAATAATTTTGGATCAGTCTCAATTTATATACTCTCTATAAAAATGAACATAGATGTTCATTTCAATTTACGTATGTATATATTAATCATTCTGTACGTTTGATATTCCATTTTTGATCACAGAAATGATATGTCTATAAAACTAAAATGTTCAACGATTTATGTATTCCTTAAAGCAGCACCATTTCAGCACCAAGAATATTTCAACTGCTTCAAAACAAATGAAAAACGATTCATGGTGACGTTCGTGCACTACTTTCCATTAAATTGGAACATAGACACAATTGAAGATTGATCAAGTACTCAAGCACAATGAAAATAAAAACAAGAAAAATCAAAAGAACGTCAACTTGGTCCACACACTTGATACTATTATGTACACACACTTCTAACTTCCATTTAGGCATAAGTTATTTTCGACACTTGAAATTTCAGTTCACACGAATAGAGGGATTGAATTGTACTATGGAAGCGGCCAAGGTAAGCCAGAAAAGTCCACAGGACCACCTAAACCTGCATCTGCCTCTAGAAGGCTCATTATCACTGCCATTGCTGCCTCGTCGTTACCATCAGATGGCACTGGATTTGGCGATTCGTTAATCGTGGTACCACCAATCATATCCATCACATCCTTAGTTAAAAAAGTAGTTTCGTGTCCTTCGTCTGGTGACGCTCCTAAAAGGGGGTGGATGTTATGTTATACGCAACGATCAATTCAAAAATGTCCGCGCGGTGTTGCTGTGAACGCTATTATTAGAATTATAACGTTATGCTAAAAAGGAAAAAAGAATTGTATTACGGGCTTGATTGCTGGATGTTCGAACCTTTGAAAAATTATTGAAGTTGATCATATACTATTCCATATATATACTATTTATGGACCATTTATTTAAAAAGTGCTGTAAGTGTATTCTTTTTGTATTATAGATATTTAAGGGTTAGTTTTTTCAATTTTTTTTCAAAAATATTAAAATGATTTTATATAAATTATTTATTTTTTCAATTTTTTTTCTAGGACTTACATCATTTTCATAATGAATAGTCCATGTAATGAGATGTTTTGAGATGAGATATATAAAAGAGAAAAAAAAAGAAATAAAATTGTATTACAATGAAATTAATTTACTTTCATAAAGACATTATAAATATTATTATCTATCGAGATTTTGAATTAAATATCAGAACGAACTTCCTTCGCCCAATTTCGTTCAAAGAAAACAATAATTTCGCGTTTGAAATCGATCGATCAAGCGAAAACTTGATCATCTTTTTTCTCTGAGCGACCTAATCTTTTTTGGTAAATCCGGCAATCACACTACACACCAAGAAAACGACTCCTTAGAGACAGTAATAGCTATGACCTTGGTCGTTCGCGATGCTGTTCAGCTGCAAGTTGTTTGCAATGTGGTTGTACGTTGGTGTAGGATTACTGCTGCTGTTGTTGCTGCCTCTGGTTGACTGTGCCACATCCTGCACCCTCTCCGGCGATGCAGTTGTAGTGATTTGTGACTTATAAGGGAAAAAAGTATAAATTAAATCATCAATAATTTAATATTTTTTCAATGTCTATAAGCTACTTAAAATATTTTAAATATCAAACTGATAATTCTTTAATCGAAAAATTAGTTTTTAAGAATATTATCATTACATTACAAATATTACTTATTGTAATATTATAATTTCGATCTTAATAATCTAAGAGATAATGATAATTGAAATGATTATTGAAATGATATAAAAATGGTATATAAAAATTAATATTAAATGCGATAAAGATCATTGAAATTAAAAATATAATAACGAATAAATTGTTTGTTTCATATCTCAAAGGAAATCAAGAATTTTAACTGGAATTTCTATGGTTATAACTACCTCCGTATTTAATAAAGCAGATTCCGGTCCAGGACTGCTACCGGAAGAAGAATCCTCACCGCGTCTTTGAAGATCCAGAACTTCTTCAGCTATTTGTCGTCCAATTTTACTTACCTCTACGTGACTCGAGATCAATCTTTCTAATCCGCCGTTACCTACAATTATTTTTCAACGTGTGAAATGAAACGAGTTTAATTAAATTAAATATAATTATGAATCACGCAAATTATATCAAACGTATATTTCACTCACTTTGTGCAAAGTAGTCGTAATTGCCTTGAACACTGGAATCCTCAGATCTGTTCCCACTACTTGTATTCGATCGGGAGTCATTGCTGAATACACAATCATTTTCATTAAGTAAAAGGTATTATTTTATATATTTGTATTTGATATAGATGTTAATTAAAAGAGAAAATATTATCGAAACTTACGAAGTGACAGAGTTCTTAGCTATTAGGTACTCGATATCTTTGGTCCATGGATTTCTGAAAGATTTCCATTCGGATTGAAGCTTTACAAAGCTTGCACCTTTAGTCCTAAACCTGTATATCTGTACAGAAATTTCTTTCATAAAATTTTTATATATAAAATATATAAATTCTTATATATATAAAATTTTATATATATATTAAATATAAAATTATATATATATATAATTTTTATATATATAAAAATTTTAAATTATTAATCAATTGAAAATCTATTTTAATATACAAATACTTAATACAATAATATCTAACACTTTTAAATATTACAATATTAAATATACTTTCTCATTAAAAATTGGAAACATTTTCAGAAAATGCAAGAATAAACAATTCAACAGTAATAAATTGAAAATGCATGTACAGTGGAAACAACATTGACTGAATTAATAGAATAGCGGGAATTAAAATTTAAAATGATAATCATTATCATTGCAAAATAGTGTCAATGAGTAATATGGTAACTTACCTGTGTGGTGACACTCTCAGATGCTTGAAGAGCAGCTTTATGAGATTCTGCCAAATGAGGGATATCATCGTGATGATAATATTCGTACATGCTCGTTCCAAGTAGCTCTTGTGGTAGGAAACCTAACACTAACGTAGCCCTGTAAATACTTTTTATTTATCATCAAGATTTATTTAAATTTATTATCATTGCTATTACTGTTATGTAATTTTAACATGAAGAATTTAGAATTATAAACAAATATTTGATTGTTGTTCCAGAAGTCAAATCAAAAAAAATCAAAAAGAATTGATTAATGATTTTTGAGATAAATTTTAAGAAAAATATATATCAAGTGTGTATCAATTATTTTATACAAAAATTAATTATTTTAATATTTTCTTTTTAAAAATTGTATTCATTAATATGGCTCATAGAGAGACATATATTGAAAATTATATAAATTAAATAATTAAGAAAATGATTAGAATATTAACCTTTGGTCGACGAAGAGGAATTTACCATCCATCGCATGTCGCGAAACGAACTTGATGGATCTCAAACGAGGCTTCTTAGGTAAAGATGTCGGAATTGTGGATTGTAACCGACCAACTGCTACCAAACACGATAAATTGCAAGCCTCTCCGTCTCCATCACCTTCATGTTCTTCGAGGTCGATTTTTGCGGGCGCCCACGACTTTAAATATCCAGTACATTGAATTACACAGTACTTCCAATCTGAAAAAATATTCAATAATGTTATCAATTTGATAAAATCAACATAAACCTATTTAAAATTGTGTAAGGTTGACTATCTTATCTAAGAAATTGAATTTTTTTAAAATTCTGAAATCATCTTGATGATTTAAGTCTTTGACATGAATAATATTATTTATAATCTTTTGATTATTTTCAAGATAGACAAACCATTCAATTCTTAAATTTTAATAACAGTGTACAACTGGAATAATTTAATAATTATTTGGAATCTATTTTCAGATATATATTACTTAACATACTACAACATTTTACATGTATAAAACGATTCTCTTTAAAATAGTTCTCTTTGAAATAGTATCCACCATTCATCTTTGACAAGTGAACCGGAAAATATTCGAGCTGAAGATTTCAAACCTCATGTAAAAAAGTGAGTGACTGTACATTGAATGCGTTCTATTTATTTATAATAGTCACGTATCAATATAAATTTCCATTAGAGGTATTTTTTATAAATTTTATTATCGCTCTTAAAAATAAAGTTTATTTAATTTTTTATTTATAATATAATAATTAATTATTTATAATAAAAAAAATTTATTATTTCAAATATTATAAACGAATACTTACCAACATTTTGTTGTTTTTTTCGTCGATGACATCCGCTTGCCGACTCGGATTCCTCCTTCACTTGTAACTCACTGCAACGTATCCCTTCGACCTTTCGTTTCATTCTGCAGAAAAAAGATCTCCGTGCACCAGGGCACAATCTCGATACACCTTGGGGCACATCCGTTTTTACAGGTAACATTGCTGTAACAACGTTAAACGTACTTCAATTATTTAACATAATGTATCTTAATTATTCTTAATTTATATTTTATTTTTCTAAAAATTATTTAGAAAATTCTATGGAATAAATCATAAATATAAATAATATTCTATGAAATAGTGTGAGTTTTATTTATCTAAAGTTATTATAGAAATTTATATCCAGAAGAAATTACATTTTCCAATTTTGCAATTTATCGAGTTAAAATTAAATAATATTTTAGCTTTTATTATTATTATTCCTTATTTAATAAACATTTTATATTTATAAGAAAATTCGCCAAGTTCTTCTTTCTTATTTCTATTTGTGTGAATTTTATTTATCTAAAGTTATTATAGAAATTTATATCCAGAAGAAATTACATTTTCCAATTTTGCAATTTATCGAGTTAAAATTAAATAATATTTTAGCTTTTATTATTATTATTCCATATTTAATAAACATTTTATATTTATAAGAAAATCCGCCAAGTTCTCGTTTCTTATTTCTACTTGTGTATAGGTATCGATGCGTGCGAATATCAAAAAGTTTTTCGCATAATTTCCTGGAAGAGAAATGCACGCGTGCATGGCGCGTATCGCATATTTGCAGTCAAATCGGCCTTGACAGATAGAAGAAGTATAAAAGGCGGCTCGAAGACTCGATAGGCACGTACTAATTCCAATATTTTATCCTTTTTATAAAACAAGAGATTCTTTTTATAAAATTTTTCGAATGAATTGATAAATAAAAGAATTAATATAATATTCAAATTATAAAAATTATAAAAAATATTAGCCAGTAAATTTAGTCGTTTTATTTTTCAATTAAAATTAATGAAATTGTGGTTTCATTATACACTAAAAGAAATAAAATTAGTTTTAAATCATTTATGATATTTTCTAAATTAATATTATGGGTTAACGCTTTAATCATCGTTCATTTCAATTTTTCATTCAAAGAAATAATCCTTGCTTTAATCAAATTCGTGTAATTATGTTAAATAATTACGAATAAATCGTAAATGCAAATAAGTAAAATAATCTTGTTTAAAAAAATGTTACACAAGCCAATAAATTATATTTAATTCCCCCGTTTTGCATAGAAATTTCTTTGATTCGTCCATTCGAGTAATTTATATTATGCTTAAAATAATAAATCTTTCATAAAAAGTGAATCGTAAAAAAAAAAAAAAAGAAACGAATTTAAATAAATCATATGTCACAGACATCAAAGAAATAAATATTTAACTAAAAGTTTAGTATTCAAACATGTCTTTTTTTAAATTACAAATATATATATATATATATAAACATCTTACAGATATACAATGAATATATTTTTCATTTATCTGGTGGAAATTTGTTACGCGATTAATGCTTTACAAACTTATGCAATCGCTTTTTCTCGAGTCTTATTTTTACGCAGAAGCAACAGATAAATTACAAATAAACGTAGCAAAGTTCTCGATTAACATCGCGTTAAACGAATAAAATAAAACGACTACCGTAATTTGAATGAAAGCATAAAATTATTTACGATAATTTATTCTTAGCCGAAAGCAAAACCATTGCAAGATTACGTTACGAAACGAACATATATATATACATATATAATTTCAACCAATCGCTTCATTTGAAAAATCACACAAATATCAACTTTAACATTTCACCTGAAACTGCAATTCTCATTTATTTATGCTTTACAGAATCTCTCGCCGATGATTCACATCCATGTTTATTGCTCAACCAAGACATTTCTATAACTCCTATTTGAAAATCTCAACCTTAACATTTCTGCTGAGGCTGCAACTACTAAGAACAACGACGATATATTCTTACAGCTACCCATCAATAATCCGAACCTAATCATTTCACAACAGGGATACATTCATAATTTTAGCCAATTACTCTATTTGAAACCCCATCAGAATGGATAGTCGGCATTAAGTAATATGTCGTTTCGAATACAAATCTCGCAATTACCGCCATTCTTGTATGTACACCGTTATTGTTACAATGGCGGTTCGACGTTTGATCAATCGGCCATCAGAAGTGTCAGCGATCGTTTTCCTGACTCCGATCGTCTGGTTTATTAATTCCGACGCAACAAGTGTCGATGATTAACGACACGCAGGACTTGATCGTAGTAGCGTAACATCTTGGAGATCCTGGCTACACGCATAATGAGTATTGTCTTCCTCCTCTTAGCACGAGTCTCTTTCATAATGACATTAATTTGAAAATGTTCACCGACAGACAGAAATCATTCTGTCCAATGATTTATTTCAGGTAAGATAATAAGAAGTTTTTTTTCTATAAACGAATATATAAATCTCCTACGATTAATTATAATGCATAATTGCAAAATGTAATTTATTTGAAAGTGTTAAGATAAATTTTTAATTTAAATTTTTCGATGTTAATAAGATTATTATAAGTAATAATTTTCACGAAATAGATATATCTTATAATTTAATTTAAAGTTTGATTAAAAATTAGGACAATTTTAAACCGTTGTAATTCCGAAGATAATAACTTCCAGTCGATGAATCGAAGAGCATTAGAAGCGTGAAATCTTGCTCTTTAAAACGGTTTATCGTTTGTCTCGATGTGACTTTTGCTTCCCGAGATATCATCGTGTAAAGAAAAAGGTAATTTTTAATACTTTATTATCTTCTCGTTTATTCGGATTTCTCTCTTGTATTTATTTTCACTGATTTATCTCAAGTTCTAGATAAATAAATAACAAATAGTTTCCTGGAAGGATATACACATTTCCAGGGAAAAATATAGGTCAGTAAACCATTCATAATTTCTGTTTAATTTCTATTTAAACTTTATGACCACTTTAAGTGTTTATAACTCAGCAACCGATTGAGATATCAAGATGAATCAAAAATGACTTTAATGGCATTTTCTTTATCGTTTTTTAAAATACATAATGTTATATTTAATATGTATAATGCTGTTGTATAATATTGTATAATATTGATACGTACTTTTGGCATCTATTAATCGTTCACGTGGACTAAGATCCGAAGAGGACAATTGTTCCTTTACCTTGGCTACATCTTTTGGATGCAGGATATCGAACCAACTTTGACCCAACAGGTCACCCTGTACAGATATAAAAATTGTATAATTTTAAAATATATAAAAAATTTATAATTTTTTGATTAGAAAAAAAATAAAAAAAAATTAATTCGTGAAAAAAATATAAGATAATTAAATATATCAAATTCATATTAAAGAAATTATTTATATTTTATTAACTATTATATTATTGTTTTTTAGATTTTCGATGAAAATTTTACCCTATTTTATTATGAAAATAAGCAGAGATTGGATACCTGAGAATAGTTGAGTGTCTGTAAAACAGACTCGGATACGTAAAGAATTCTTCCACGATCACAGCCCACCACGAAGACAAAACCCTCCGCAGCCTGAAACAAGAGAAGACATCTTCGATTATGTAACTTATAGATCAAATATTAATTACAATTATGCAATAACAAAACCGAGGAAAATCGATTTACATTGTTATTGACAACGGTTCAATCATATTTTAACTTTTTTGGATTTGGAGAAATTCAAATAACAAATAAGAAATAGTTTAATATTAATATTTTATTATTTTTTTCTAATTTCATTCTCTATAAAAAATATTTGTTTAAAATATTTG